GTGCAGCGCGTAAAAAAGACTATCGTTTAAGGAATATTCAACGGCACATCCCGACGGTGCTAAACACCTTTATTAGATTAACTCTTTAAAAAGACTGTCTATATGCTAAGCTAAACGCTATAAACAAAATTCGCTGGGTTTGCCTTCAAATAACATTTTACGCCGGTATAGAGGCCGATCCTTCCAGCATGATGCACGAGGGCAGAGATCGTGGGGGCGTCGGGCTCGATTGCTCCTTTCTTCATTTGAATGTACTTTGAGGGCAACCCAACGAATTTCCAGTTCGAAGTCAAATTCTGAGGGGACAATTATCTTTGTACACTCCTCGTAATGATTGGACTGAGTCTGCAAACAAAGTGCTTGGAGATCCTTTCGAGGAACCTCGGAAACCTTTGTCACCAAAGGTTTTTCTGAACCGCCACTAACTAGGTTGACAGATATGGAAGATAGTACCCGGGAAAGACTAACCACAATTGTTACCGACCATTGTACATCTCCGTGTCGTGAAGACTAACCATCACCTACTGATCCTTGTGTTCTTCTTGTGTGTTTTTTTTTTTAAGACGAGGCAACAAGGGGGGCAAAAAATCTCTACACCTATGCCTCCTTTTCTCTCTCCCCAACAAAGGACTGTGAACAACACTCAGGGAATTGGTGTCATAAATACATATGTTTCCTGTAACAGTTTCGAAATTTCAGTTTTGACGAGGTGGTCAATTTTTAAGACGAGTTTCTAAACACAGGTGGGGGACATCTCTGAAAAGCTTGAGCGGATAGATGTGTTGGATTATTCTGACCAGGTTGTTGTAGTACCCTGGGTCTCGGTACAGACTTGTCTCTTATACTTGACGATGTAGATTACCTCTTAAGTATTTCAGTCTGACTTCGTAGAAACACGAGGTCAGTTAAGAGGAGTCATTTGGTGTCTGACTTAGGTCTAGTTTCGGTGCGCCTTCCGGGAAATCTCGTCCAAAAGAGAGTGACTTAACACGACAATACATCTTACAGAAAAGGTAATAACAAGAAGCTATAGACGACAACTCACAATGTGTACTCGACGACACTACGTTGCAGTTGAAGGTCTGGAACTAGACTGGTAAGTTCACAATTAGCAAAATTTTACACAACTATTCCTCTTGGCAAATTTATCATAGGAGTTGGAGGGTTTCCTGGGCACCTCTCTCGTCGCTTCCGCAACTCGTCGAAGGCGTCGAGACGCACCTGCCCGTCTTCCAGGCCTACGTCTGACGTGGCTCTCGTCTCTTTGTCGACTAGTAGTCTTTGGTGCATGTCCTAGCAGGTCTCACTATCTTTTGTGTAGTAGCGGACCCTCGCGTCCGTTTCACGAAACTCCGTTACTTTCTGTAATTCTCAAAGGTAAACTTTGTAATTTTTCTTTCTAGGTAATTTGCACTTATTATTCAATGTCTCGTTCACCACTCTACACTTATCAAGTTAATTATTCGTCGCGCGTTTTTTTTCAGAAGTCGGGCACCTAAATTTTCAATCACTCTCAGTCGCTGACGTCCAAAAGGTCTATCAAACCTGGGGATTGGTTTACAGTGTAAGGAGCTGGGGAGATTTCAGAAGGGCCACCCTACTTCAATAAAACTGTCAAAAGATTGGAAAATTATACGGGAAAGTTAGGAAGAGAAAGTAGGTAAACTTAGGGGTCTGTGTGTACAAGGAAAAAATGCAATGGTTTGGGTAGAAACCCTATAATATATCTGGTGGAAGTCTTACATCCTGATATAATAAAATTCGAAGGGTTAGCACTTCAGAACGAAGTTGGGTGTCCGTCACTCCTAGCTGTGAGACTACTTACCCCAACGTAATTGTTAGTCCTATTAGATTCTTTTATGTTACACTGGTGTACACCATCCTATTCATATTTAAATGGAGTCACGACAATCCGCAAGTGATGTAGGTGAATGAAATTTTTTGCTAACAATAGGATTTATTACGGTTAAATTAGCCATTAACCAAAACAAATAGACAGAAAACTAAGAATCTCTCTCTTCGCTCCCAAAATATGAAACTTGAGTTCCTAGTTCATCCATTTTAGAAAGTAGTGCAAGAGAGAAGCAGTAAAGATAATAAGACTAACAATGGTTGGGAAGTAGTACAGCAGGAGGTACGGAACCCACTTCCGGTTTCTAAGTGCTCCCTTCAGAATTTTTTATAGGATTAAGACCCACCAGATTTTAATAGTTTCTACCCAACCCATTGTCATTTTGTCCTTGTAAACAACAGGACCCTAGTTTTACCTATTTCTTTCGCTACTTCCACTTATAATTTCCAATCTTTTCGACAGTTTTATTGAAAGTAGAGTGCCCTTGATCCCAGCTTCCTACATGTAACCAATACCCAGTTTATAGACCTTGTTTGGACGTCCAGGCGACGTTGAGAGTGATGAAAATTTAGGTCCGACTTTCTGAAAGAAAAAACGGCGCGACGAAAATAACTGAGTAAGTTGTAGAGTGTGACGAGACATTAAATTAATGCAAATTAATAGAAGAGAAAAGGGTACAAAGTTTACCTTTGTGGAATTAGCAGAAGGAAACGGATTTCGTGAACGGACGGAGGGGTCGCTACTACACCAAAAGATAGTAGACCTCTAGGACTGACGAGAAGACCTACTAGTCGACAGAGGGACAGAGCCACGTCGAGACGTAAGGCCTGGAAGACGGGGCAGGTGCGTCGCGACGCCTGTCGACGAGTTGGCGAAGCGGAGAGAGGTGCCAGGACCCTCCACTTCCTTGTAATTTCCAGAGGGATAGTATGTGTAAAACTTTATCGGCTATGACTTACAGCTAGTTCAGACTTCAAACTGACGTAGTGTCGTGGGTACCATATCGTGTTGTCTGTCATAGTTCTGTGTTATCGTACCTTTTCTTTGTAAATTTGTATTGTCGTGTTAGTCAACTCTCTTTTTGCTGGACGAGGTTGTCCCGGAAGTCGCCGAAACTAGCCTAATCGGCCACAAATGACTACTCCTACTGACTCGGTTTCCTTCGCAGTCAGACTGAAATATTTAGAGGTAATCTACATCGCTCTGATAGAGCATCTCGTTCGAAACCCAGGGTTACTACAACAACCTGGTCAGATAATCAACATCTAATCCCGACTCGTCTTTATCAGAGACTGTCCCCCTTGGTTTTGGGTTAAGAACTCGCGCTAACATTGACCCCTCGTCAAACTGGAAATTTCGACACTGTAGGGAAATATTAGTATTTATCACACCATTCCCTTGGAGGTGTTTCCATGTCTTTTGTTTTTGGGAGAGAGAGGGGCAGTGGGTGTTAGGGATTTTTTTGCCGCTTGGGGTTGTCCGTCTAAAAAAAACACACAGGAGAACCACAGTCAGTAGGTGTGCGTTACGTTTCACGCACGGGATGTCATGGTCGGTACTACAATTGGTTAGTCTTCCAGGTACTACTTCCAATATCTGTCTACTAGGTTAGTGGACGGTTAAGAAAACTTTGTGAAAGGTTACCGAAGGTTACCTCGAAAAGGGGGATTCTACCCAAGCCATTGTTTGGCAGACTCAGTCCAACATTACGAGGGAGGTTGTACAAGATTAATGTCCCACTCAGATTTGACTTGGACCTGGAATTCGTTGGCGTTGCCACTCAGTAATTACAAATGAAGAAAGGAGGCTCCGAGCCCGGACGCCCCCAGATCTCTAAGGCCCCCCTCCGTGCCCTCCTCGCCTCGCGCGGGATCGGCCTCTATACACGGCGTAAATGTTATTTGAGGCAACCAGGATTTTTGTTTATAGCGTTTAGCTTAGCATTATAGGCACAGCTTTTTTAGGTTATCTATACAGGTGGTTTAGCAGTTCAGGATGTAGCACCGTGAATTCCTTAGAACGGAATTTAGGTCTTTTTTTACGCGCTTGCCAACCTGGCTATTATACCAGAAACAATGGTAATCGTATTCCGTAACGATTGTGAGTCCGTGGATTGACCTCTCTATACACTTTCTTTCGACCTTTATTCTTTTTTCCTTGGAGGCAGAACATTCTTTGGGCGTTCTCTTTTCGTACTCGAGGTATTGACAAAGTCTTTAATGTAGGACGTTGTCCTGGTCAACGATTGTACATCAAATGCCTAACACAAGGGGGGGACTAGACGACTACCACTCCAGGTGGTACGTATTCCCAGTTAATATGGTCTTTGTTTACATTAGCAAGCATCGCTAACACTCAGAGCTAACCTGCACTGGAGAGATTATGTGTAAAGAAGCTGGAAATAAAAAAAAGGAACTCGTCTTGTAGTAAACCCGCAAGAGAAAAAGCATTTGAGCTCCATACTGTTTCAGAAATAATCCTGCAACAGGACCAGTTGACTAACATTAGTTTCCTGATTGTGTGTTCCCAGGTCTGCTTGGGATGGTGGGTCACATGATGTTCATGCAGGTGTTTCAGACCACCGCCTTGATGGGACCAGAAGACTTCAAGCCTCACAGCTACGGCTACTCCTGGGCCTTCTAGTGAGTCCATTAAACACACTTACACATGTTCTGCTACTAGGCATGGCACGTTTATTTATATAGCACCTTTCAACACAAGGCATTTCAAAGTGCTTTACAAAAATGAAAGACATTTACCACATCCTGACTGAACGCTTCTTAACAAAAACAGTAAGAAACAGGCAATAACAATATTTTTTAACATAAAAGATACTAAACATATCCACATCCTGACTGAACACTTCTTAACCCTTATGTTGTGTTCGGGTCTCCCGTGACCCATTTCAAGTTCAAATTATAGACACTGAACAAAAATATAAACGCAACACTTAGGGTTAGGGGTTAGGGTTAGGGTAATGTTGTGAATCGAGTGGCCTGTGTTCATCTTCCATAACACACGCCTGCCCATACCATAACCCCACCACCACCACCATAGGCCACTCGATTCACAACATTACCCTTACCCTCACACCAGATACTGACTGGTTTTCGGACCCCCCCAGACCCCCCCAATAAAGCAAAACTGCACGTTTCAGAGTTGCCTTTTATTGTGGCCAGCCTAAGGCACACCTGTGCAATAATCATGCTGTCTAATCAGCATCTTGATATGCCACACCTGTGAGGTGGGATGGATTATCTCGGCAAAGGAGAAGTGCTCACTATCACAGATTTTTTCAATAATATTTGAGAGAAATGGTTATTTTGTGTATGTAGAAAATGTTTTAGACCTTTGAGTTCCTCTCATGAAAAATGGGAGCAAAAACAAAAGTGTTGCATTTATATTTTTGTTCAGTGTATATGGATATGCGTGATGGAGGGTGGAAATATAGAAGTGAGGCTCCATAGAAAAGGTTTGATAACTGCTGTTTAAGAGCATGACCATATAATTGCTGCATGGTGTTTTGTACCTCTTTGAGAAGGGAACTTCGGAGTTCACTGCAATTTTACTCTTGCTCCTTTCGATGGACACCACTCCACCGCCAAGGTTTCCAGCTTTGCCGTTAACCTTGATGCGCTCCTGCAGGAACTGCTCCTGCAAGTGTACAGAGAAAAAAGCAAGCCATACACAGCAAGGGTTGGTACACAAAACTGGACAGAACTGATATGACAGCAGTGTTTGGCACAAAGTGTTGTGTGTATCTGACAGCTGTTGCACTCTGTAAAATGGACAATATGCATTTTTATGTCTGAACTGTTGTACTCACAAAGTTGGCAGCGTCCATAATGCCATCCTCAACAGGATGAGTGCAGTCCAGGGTGAACTTCAGGATCTGCTTCTTCCTCTTCCCACCTGTCTTCCTAACAACCTGCTTTTTCTATCACAGGAAAAGAGAGGGTTACTTAAACTCACAAACAGACAACATGGCATATGAACCTTTAAAAAACACCCAAATGGCAAATTATATTATAACGTTCACTTTTGTCAACATAGTCATATACGTGATTGCCATCATGTTCCCAAGTCTGTAAATGAAACAGTATAAGTTAAATTCCTCAACATTTTGTATTACCCATAAAGCTTAACTACCGATGTTTCAAAGCTAGCTGCCGTTAGCATTAAACGGTTAGCCCAACGTGGCTTTAGCCTAACACCGTAAACAAAGCCACAATCAGAGGCTAAAACATCCCTGGCTCCTGTATTGATGTACAATAATTTGATATACTTCGCCGAGTGCAAAAAACAAGTTAAAATAGATCGTCTGTATACAGTTTATTTGGACGTTTTATTACTCACAGTCGGGGCCATGGCTCACGCATTCAGCAAAAAGGAAGGAGCAAAGGCTAGGCAGGCGCTATAATACCCAACCGCATCATCGATCGCATCGATTTATCTGAGATCGATTTAGCATAGTCTTGTTTAACATTTACAGTGCTATATTTTAAAATGTAACATACGTAAATGCTAATAATGCTCAAATGCATATGTTTTTTAAAACAAGAAACGTTATTTATACCTCGGGGGCATTGATGAGGCACAAACGGTTGAAAGAGGTCAGACTTTATCTTATTATCAACTTCTGCTAGGTAGTTTTTCAACTAAGTTAACATAAAAAATGTTTGCTGAGCTTCTTTTTGACTAACTTTTTAAGTAGAAATATGACATGTATTTTTTTATAACTGATATCAAACAGTCAAGACTGGTATGGCTTTTAGTACATCACAATGTTGACAGTTAACAGGGAAGGTGTTCAGCACTTCAGATAAATACATAAAAATAGTTTTTCAACTGACCATGGAAGTCAGCTGAAAATAAATTAGGAAGAATACATTTCAAGATATGTGGAGACAAGGTTTCCCATATAAATGAATAATTAGTTAATTAATTTAACTGAGCAGTTGTTTCAAATACATATTTATTTCCCCGAATGATTACCACTAATATATGCACTTATTTACACTAACCCTCCAAAAAAATGTGGTTTGTTGGAAATTATTATGAAAGTTATGAACTTTTTCTCACATTTTTGTTGTTAAATTAGAATTGAAACTTATTTTTTTCTTAAATTATGTAATTGCTCTAATGCAACATAACAAAAACTAAGCTTAAATGAGAAATACTTTTTCTAAAAAGTTGTTTCCAAAACTCAAAGAAGGCATGAAACATAATGCTTCAGTGATAGCCTACATTAAAAGTAATCTTCTTTCAATGTTGCAGCAGATTACAATATTTGCAACGCTTTATTTTCCACACCTCCCTACCGGTCACCCTGCCTTTGAGTTCAAGACGTAACGACAGAGTGACAGTAGAAATAGGACAACTGTATTTTTCATCTCCATGGCACTGCACTATTAAATGTCCCTTATGCACTTTGGCCACACTGGGGGCTGGCACGAGGTGTGTGCTGCCAGCTGCCTGGCGGAGGGACCACTATTGAAGAGTTTCTGCATCGCTCTCATTCCTGCTGGGGATAGCTGATAGCACAACTGAAAGGTAAGACAGTGGCTCTGTCTGCTTTCTGTTACTAGCCTTCTGCATTTACAATAGCATTTGTTTTCTGGATATAATGTTGCTGCTGACAATGTATTTGATGTTATTTATAAGCCGCCTTTGGATTGTGTGTTGTCACTGAAGCCTCGGCACTCGTTAGACATCTGACAAGGTAAGCAACAAAGAAATAAAGATTGTTTATGCTTATTAATATCTGACTATCATCATGAAAGTGTTGCATATTGCAGTCATCTTAGCCTCACTTTTATTAACAGAAATAATTGGACCATACCATACATTAAAGCTTGGTTTTAAAACTTTTCTCTCACAGTTTGTCATCATTGGCATGCTCTGTTTGCAGATGGCAGGAGAAATATTCACCAACCTGGATAACCTCTTTAATGTGGATTGTGCCAATGTCCACCCCCTGGTGTGTCACATGTGCCATGAGCAGTACCGGTCCCCGTGTTTGTTGGACTGCTACCACATCTTCTGTGCCCGCTGCCTGCGAGGCCGGATCAATGACAACCGTCTCAGCTGCCCCCTCTGTGGGTAAGAGATAGCACTGTGAGGTGGATCAGAACCAATTTAGGCAGCGTATATTATCAGTGTACAAAGCAATGGAAAATCAAATAAGTTTTTATACAAACTTACCAAGGAAATATTTGTTGAAAATTCATCAAAATTATGAACGTTTTAATCATGTTTCTGAACAAAAAAACAAACCTTGATTGGTGTGTTTTGGTGTACGTAGGATATCTGAATCTGGATATCACAATTCTGCTACTTAATCATACAAATATAATAATATTGAAATGCCAGGTAATGAGCAGGTTATCTAACAAACATGATTAAGATGATTAAATTAGCGTTAAAACACAATATTGCCCTTTGAATCCCCATGTTGTGTGAACATTCCCATTTCCCTCAGAGGCCCCAGTTTTGCTGCAAGGGATTTGTTCCACATAAGTTGATTAGTATGTTGGTTGGGTTTGAGATTTGAGGGGAATCCCATTGGTTCCAGGGAGCATCAAGTCCCTCTGGTTTGGTTTCAGGGGGCAGCACAGGGACCCGGTGCTGGCCCAGTCTGGGCAGGGCAGGCCGGAGTGGCTGGAGCAGCTGCTCTCTCATTTTGTCCCCAGCGCTCAACAAGGCCAGCAAGTTCCTCTAACACCAGTCACCAAGCATACTGCTATTTGCCACCAGCTTAGGGCAATCAAAACTGGTCACATGATTCCAATCTATTTCCCCTATTAAGGAATGAATCGTGATTACCTTCAGGTCTGTCTGTGTATATAATACAGGGAATAACAGTGATGTGTTGTATAGAGAAAAGGAGCTGTATTGCATTGAGTATAACAGGGGTCTTTTCTATTTCGTCAGATACAATTCGACCCAGATTTTGAGATTGCTCCTGCGTGGATGCAGACAATTAAACAGCGATGATGAGATTTGATTTCACTGCATTATTTTCAACTGCTTTTGTCATGTGCCTTAGTTCGTTTTATTGATTGGATGATGCTTTTGTTATCCCAGAAGGAATTTGCTTTTCAGTGTGGGCATGGCATTTTACATGCACCAAAAAAAATCATACATTCAAAATATGTTATAACTAAAGGGGAAAGCCAGCACATAGCAGACACCCACAGTAACCTGCATGTCATTAGGAATTACCATTGTATATTACAGTGACAACTGCTTGTTGAGCAGCTCGTGTGATCTGATTCTGCTCTGCCAGGTCTATATCAGGTCTATATCAACCTCCTCTTAAAATAGGCTTTCTGTTGAGGCTATATATGTATGAATTCATCATCATCATCCAAATTGTACCCACTAGCCTATGAGCTAATTTTTTGTAATAATTAAATAGAAATACAATTACATATTATAGCTGAACCTGAGGCAACTTCTACTGTTTGATATGAACCTGTGTTGAGGCAGATAAGCTGCTGTAAGTAATACCAACAGCATTGGTTTTATTCATAGCACAAGAACAAATATGAATCCAGGCAATCACATATTTTCAGTGTAAATAACCCTGTGGGCTCAGGCTGCTGCTGAAAGGGGGGGGGGGGGGGGNGGGCTGTTAGCAGGCTGCTATTTCCATCAGCAGCCTGCTAACAGCTGCTCACTCAAGAACCGTAATCTAGGAATGCACTACTCTGCTAGTGGAACACAATAGATCCCCATTGCTATGAAAACGAGATTGAACATGCACAGCAGACAGGGGCAGGAAACATTAGCATCACAGCAACTGAATCAGAATGAGGAAAACAGCATTATGGGTAAATCAAACAGGCCTGTGCTGTTGTTAATGCGTCAGACGCTGGTCGCTGCATCTGCCGGTGTAATCCTGTTCTACCTGACATCACATGTTTAACACATTGTTTAACCATTTAGGGAAAGGATTAGCTTAAAAAAATAGGACTGGTGAAGATTTAATTTAATTTAAAAAATGTGTCATTTTATAAAAGATTAGTTGGTGACTATTTTGATATTCAATTGACCATTTTAGTCAAAACTTGAACTCTCAAATGTTAAGGTTTGATTATTATCATTTGTATTAGGCTTTTAGATTTATGGGTGGACAAAATCAAATTAATGATATTTGAATATGCCACTTTGGGCTTTTGGAAAACATACTATTTACTATCTTCTGACGACATGATCAACTAATAAAGGACGTCATTGTTAGTTGCAGCTCTAATCGATAAATAAGATGGTGTAAAATGTCAAGTTAAATCTGTGAAAATGCACCCAGTCTAATCAAAGAATAAATCCTGGCTCTCCCTCAGATCCATTACACGGATCAGTGCACATCTGACAATAAGAAATGTTCCATCTCTTAATATGTGCAAATGCAAACAGCAGAGTATTCATTTAGATAACAATTTATTTCGATAATGTCATGCCTTCCAGGTATAGGAAATATGAATTTGTCACACAGTAGTTCTATTGAGAGCAAAATAAATATTTTGAGAGATAAGAGTGCCATCTTCTGGAATGTCACAAGAATGCAATAAAGATGAAAGCTAAAGGATGTATTTTTAATAAAAGCAGCATTCATGTTTTTACTAATCATGTTACTTTATTTTCACTGTACATTTAGAACTTAGAACAGGTTATTATACTAATGGAAATAACCATTCACCCAGTATTAAACTTAAGATGTATGAAAATGGAAGGAAATATGGAGCGATACGATTATGGCTGGGGTTTCTTTTTGATGACATCAGGCTTATTCAGTCCTTTTCAGGGGATGCTGGCAGTTCAATTTTCATTTTCGTATCCCTCCGTCTTCATGTCGTTCAGTCCGAGGTCTTCGTTCTGCTCAAAGGTGCGGGTGTACTTCTCTATGGTGATGTCAGGGTCTGGGTCGGGGGCGTACACGTTCTGCATGTAGCTGTTCCCTGTGGGGTCGTCCAGGATGAAGTGGATGTTCATTTCTCCAGCTATTATTTTGTCAATCTTCTCCCCAAACGCTTGCAGCTTCTCAAGCCGATCTGATGAGCTACTGTCGCCACAGATGAAGGGGTTTTTGGAGACGATCAGATCTTTGATGTCTTTCAGAAGCCCCTCCAGGGTGGTGAACTTCCCCCCCACGGCCGCCATCCCCAGCTCAAACTCCAGCTCGGGGATGCTGAGGGAGCACGTCTCGGACTTGAGCACGTCTCGGGTCATGTCTGAGGGGTCGGTGACGTGCAGGGTGATCTTGGTGCCCATCGCCTCCGTGGCTCCACCTGATTTCACCTCGTTGGTCCTGTGGCTACAGCTGTCGCAGTTAGTGGCCATGATGATGACCTCCTTGAAGTGAGGGATCTCCACGATCTTCATGTTGGTTCTGGCTGGAGCGTTGCATTCAGGGCAGTTGGTGTTAAACCCGAGAACCTCATCTTTCATGGTTTCTATATCGTTACCGGCTGGTTCTTCCTCCAGGTCATCATCAGCCCTCAACCCCAGCTGCATGTCCTGCTGCATCGTCCTGGTGAACTTGGTCACAGTGAGCGCCTCATCCTTCTGGGGGGCACGTGGGTTTTCAATAAAGCTGTTTCCAGATGGATCCTCAATCACCAGAGTGAATTCGCTCTCCACTTCTTTTAACTTGTGCAGTTTCTGGATGAATTCCTCTATTTTGTCAGCCACCTCGGGGTAATTAGCTCGCCTGAGAGTTTGGTCCTGCTGCAGCCCTGCAGCTGCTCGGTCTATAAGACCCTCAATGGTGGTAAGAGCCCCTTTCTGGGTGAAGGGAGGGATTTCAAAGTCCAGATCTGGGATCCTGGTGGTGGCACCGTCAGATTTCACCACTTCCCTGTCCAGGTCCTGCTTTGTTTTGACTTTGAGGGTGTAGCAGACGCCCTGGTCCTGGATCCGGCCTGCAGACTGGATCTCTGTGTTCGACCAGCTGCAGTTGTCGCAGTTGAAAGAGCTCACGATGACTTCTTTAAAAAAGGGTATTTTGGTGAGCAGTAAACGTGTCATACCGTTTAAGTGGCAGTTCATACACATGCTCTCAATCTCCGTGATGTCGTCTCCGTCGGCGCTGATATCCCTGAACAGGTTCTCACCTCCGACACCTCGCACATTGTCCTCGGTAATAACAGACATTCTTCACGCTGAATATGTTTCCCTCGGGGTAGAAACTGTTTCCTCGCAGTTACTCCCTCGTTCAGTTGTTTATCTTGTTGGAAGCTTCTAGATGACGCACACGCACGTTAGAAAGATTCAACAGACTCTTCCGCATTTTCTTCTTCTAGGGTGGCGGTATCCATCAAGATCACTGCTGCCCCCTAAGGTTTTATACGGTACTGCACGTAGGGCAATCAAACGGGTGTTTACAACTATTTTAGGGATTCATATTATATCTTGCACTGCATAATGCCTTTAGTCTACATTTTAGATTTTTTTTAAATATACTGCGATCAAATCATGAATCAGTACAACCACAAAATGCCCATGTATTATTATTAATATTATCACGTGTATTATTGTAATTTGTATTATTATGATTTGTATTATTTTAGTACACCAAATGTTAGGAACACGATAAGGAAAAAAAAGTATTACTTAATGTTCCTCCATATACAAGTACATAAATAAACACACATTTATGTACAATAATATTGACATGTGTGTATAGACATGCACTTTCCTATTGTAGCTAGTTTTTTTTTGATTTATTTGATTTTAATCTTTACAATTCCTACATATTTGAAATGTTAATTTGAACTTGCCTTTTAAAATGCAACATACACACATTTCTGGGGGGGGGGGTTCTGAAGAATTTCAATGAATTTCTTTCACCTGAGTTGGGTTAGGATTTTTGTTTAAATTGTTTTAATCGGTACTGCTACTAGTTTCTTTCTTTTTACTCAGCCTGGAAAGTATTTGAATTGTCGGATTACTCAGTAACATTGAATTTTTTTTACATAGCCTATTTATTTCACAAATTGTAGGTCTGTTGTTGCATTGTGAGTTTTTTTCTCCGAACTCTACACCTGTGGTTACGAAGTTTTTTATTCTTAATTGTTGTTGTAGGGGATGTGGATGGAAAAGGAGAAGAAGTGGTTGCTTGTTACTTATTTTTCACTTATTTCTGATCAATCTGTGTTAATAATTTCTGGCAACCTCAACATGTGGAACAACACGTATATTAACTTTCTAATTCAGTGGTAACTTTCGTGATTTTCTGTATAAATGTCTGTTTCTGCAACAGATACCCATCCATTTTGAAAGGGAACAGCTCCCTGCCTCCAGAGGACCGTCTGCTGAAGTTTCTGGTGGACAACAATGCGGAATCTGAGGAGACGGTGCAGTGTGCCAACTGCGACCAGGAGAGTGACAAAAAGGTACAAAATGACGGACAGAACCACATCAATATATATATATTTTTTAGGTGAAGGTCACTCAATAGTTGGCCTGCATTTTAAAACAAACGTTTGTTCGTCCAAAGTTTTAGTAACTTGATAACATCATCAATAAAAACCTTGAGTTACTTTAAACAGAACACAAAGTATACAATTAAAAAGGACGTTAGCATCTCTCAACTGTTTTTGGGAATCATATTTCTTTCCCCTTTTTTCTCTCCAAACAGGATGCAGAGGTGATGTACTACTGTAACACCTGCAGCCAGCCACTTTGCAGCACCTGCAGGGAGTTGACTCACAAAGCCAAAATGTTTTCCCACCATGAGATTGTTTCCCTGGCCAAACGCTCCAGAGCCAAACACAGGAAGTGCTGTGAGTGCCACCTGTACATCGTAGTTTGCATTCTGAAACCTCTTGCATTTGTATTGCACAAACATGCTCAGTGGAAAAAGAGAATATTGAATAGTCCTCACACTCTTGCAGGCTCAGGTTAAGTCTTTGTCTCCATAGCTCTCCACGAGGAGCCCTACATCCTGTTCTCTACAGAGAACAAGTCCATGCTTTGCATCAAGTGCTTCAGAGACATGCAAGTGTGAGTCACATTTCATAAGATCTTCTTTTCTTCCCTCCCATCTCTCTTCATGTATCTTCTATTCTCTTATTTTCCCCTCTCTTGTCTTCTCTTCTAGTCTCTGTTTTTCATTAGATCGTTCCTATTTCTTTCTTCTCTTGCATGGTGTCATGAGGGTTAAGGTTATATTTTCTTCTCTTCTGTTATGTTATCTTTGCTTCCCTTCCCCTCCTCTCTCTCCTCCACATTAAATGAGATGTTGTTTGTTTACCACAGGGAGAGCCGGACTCACTGCATTGATATTGAAACAGCGTACGTGCAGGGCTGTGAAATGTTGGACCAGGCTGTGCTGGTGAGAGTCCTGTCCGTCTGTCTGTACACCTGTCTGTACACCTGCCTGTCTGTCTGTATGTCTGTCTGTCTGTTTGTCTGTCTGTCTTTCTGTCTGTCTGTCTGTCTGTCTGTACACCTGTCTGTACACCTGTCTGTCTGTCTGTCTGTCTGTATGTCTGTCTGTTTGTCTGTCTGTCTA